GCCTCGGTCGGTCCAGAGTACTCTCTGGTTTCTGGTGGCTGGAGCCGTAGTGCGAAGACAGGTTAGAAACTTGGGGGAATTTGCGTGCGGTTGGATGCTGCTGGCTCATCTGCATCCCCGTTGGTGCCCATAGCATCTTCTGAACAACTGGGCAGTGCTGCATCCTAGCTGAGCTGGGTTTCACATACCCTGGGAAGTGTGGTGGCATACGGCTGGGGGTGTTCTGGCTGTGTGGGATGCAAAACGAGGCCATCCTCTCCGTGGTAACTTGTGCAAGACCACTGAGTGTGCTGCAATAGCACACAAAGAGTGTTCTTCCCAGCCCACAGGTCAGTCCTGGGGGGTGGTAGCCTCGCTGCAGGGCTGTTTGGGTGCAGCTGTGCTCAGGAGTGTGGAGACAGGGTGGAATCTGGGTCCTGATGTGGCTGGGGTGTCGGTGAGGGGAAAGAGGTAGTGGGGGCACGTGGGCTAGGTAGCATCCTCTCATGTGGCTCAGCAGAGGTGAGGGGGGAAGGCATCCAGATGTACCTAGAGAAGTGGGTGGGATTTCCAGAATGGGACCACTCTTTTCTTATGGCCTCTTGGCATGCACGTTCTCTAAGGGTGTACTAAAGGAGATGGGATTGCAGCATGGGGCTCTTCAACCTCTAAGGAGCCAATCTTGAATTGGTTTTAGAAGCTGAAGCTCCTCTGGGGTGACAGGTAGCTGGAGCTGGTGTGAGCAAAAGGAGGGCAGTACTGAGAGCACAGGGATACGCCAGGGACTCTTGTCTTGCACTGTGTCCCTACTGACTGCGACTCCTTGTTCTTTCCTTGTGCTGCTGGCAGGCCTACGAGCTTTCCACGCTGACTGGCACTCAAGTCCTGCTGCTGGTGGCCAGCGAGACGGGCCATGTGTACACATTTGCCACACGGAAGCTGCAGCCCATGATCACCAGTGAGACGGGGAAGGCGTTGATCCAAACGTGCCTCAACTCCCCAGACTCGCCCCCGCGCTCAGACCCGACCACTGACCAGCGCATGAGTGCCACGGGCTTTGAGGAGACGGACCTCACCTACCAGGTGTCTGAGTCGGACAGCAGTGGGGAGACCAAGGTAACATTCCTGTGCTCAGCCACCTGGACGTTCTGGGAGGCACCAGCTCTGCTTGTGGGGCTGTGCTGGGAGCCCTGACCATCCCCAGCCCTCCTTGTATAGCAGCTAGGGAAGCTGAGGATGAGACCCCTTTTGCGGTGACTCCGGCAAGCTCATGCTGTGGTCTCAGGGCTGGCTCCTTTGCTTGGCTGGCAGTAGTGGCGATTCGGAGAGGGAGGGAAGTGGGTGGCAGATGTCCTGGCCCTGGTCTTCGCAGCGGAGCTCTCCACTGGCCCAGCCCACCCCCCTGGCCAGCTCTCAGCACTGTTATCTCTCCCCGGGTGTCTCCATGCTCTTGCACTCATTGATAAAAATTTGATTCTGCCTCCATGGCCTTATAAGGCCTGGTTTCCCTCGCCAGAGTCCCTGGCAGGGCCCCTCACATTCCTTATAAGCTGCAGCTGTCTCTTGCTTTGGTGCTGTTTTGGAAGGGGGCAGGGAGGACACAGGGAATGGAAACATTTGGCTGGAGGGACCATTTCTGCTCCCTGCCTAGTGTCCCTGCAGGCACCGGCCCTTGCCTGCCTGTGTTACTCATGGCGTCTTGCCTAGGGTGCTGTAGAGGGCTTGCCTGTAGGTGCAGAGTCAGGCAATGACCCTTTTCTGCTGGAAGGGCTCTGTCTTGTCCCTGTATCCCTTGGTGCTGTTCCTTGGAGCTGTTACAAGAAATCTGGCTCCCGTATCCCTGCTGCTTCCTTTGCAGGCTGGTGCTCAGGTCCACAGGCGGTTGGGTATGTGAGGCCGCGGAGTTTGTGGTGCAAAGCTGGGGTGACATGCTGAACTGGGAGTTGTGCCACAGCTTCCCGGGCCTGTGTGGAGTGCCGTTGGGTGCTGTGAGTTGCTGCAGCTCTGCTGTACCTGTGCTCATGGCATGGATACTGGGCTTGGTGCAAAAGCATCTTTCCAGATGAACTGTGGCCTTGCTCTAGGAGCCCTCCAGCCAACTGTACGCAAGCCACAGCAGCATCCTTGCTGTACAGGAGCCACTAAACGTTAAGCAGACAAGAACCTGGAGAACGGTGTTGGAGATCTCTGCTGTAATCCCAAAGGCAGTGAGTGCCCAGCATGTTGGCTGGGGCTGCAGGGGTGTTCAGCTGTGTGTTTGTATCCTATGGCAGCCCAACAGCTCTGGTCACAATGCTGCTGGGTACCTGGCAGCTGTGATTCCTCCATGCCGTCTTCCCCACATGTGTGTAGAGCTGCACCAAGCAAAAGGTTCTCGCTGCTGAGCCCTGAGAAATATCGGCAGTCCCAGAGATCCCTGTAGGCTGAGGAGCTGTGGTGGACCAAGGTGTTGCTGGCTGGAGAGCTCTGTGCTTGAGCCCAGAAGAGTCCCTGGGAAGGCTTCCCTCTGATGGGAGTCCAACAACGGTCCTGACTGTCCCAGTCTGGCGTGACTCCCCTGGGTGCCTCTGATTCCTAGTGTGAGCTGTGCCAGCCCTTTCCAGTAGGCAAAGGAGTTCATTGTCACCAGCAACTTCTCCCTTGTGCAGCCTGTGTTTGTAAGGACTTCCGTGTCTTGGGCTTCTCCTGGATGAAAAGGCAAGTCCTGTGGGCATTTTGTAATGAGACAAACTACCTGTGCCTGGAGCATTTTGGAGGTGCAGGAAGTGCTGTGCATGGCAGCTGACCTGTCCCTGGTATGGAGCTTGTGCACATTATGTCCCTTAAGATTTTCCCTGAAAATATGGCTAGGTGGCCCCAAGGGAAGTGTGCTCTTGGGATGCAGTTACTCTGCGGAGATCTTAACACAGCTTATCTCTGCCGGCTTTCTGATGCGACCCCTGCTTTGTGCCTTGCAAGCTCCATCCCAGTACTCAGGAGTGGTAATGCTTAGTGTGGGGTGCCTTGTGGCCACAGCCAGCACTTAGTGTGACGCTGAACGAGCCCTGCCACCCTGTCTTCTGCTTGATGTTCTGGCTAAACGCACCCCTGGCCTCCTGAGGGTTCTTGTTGTGGCAAGCTGGGGACAGGCTGGAAGCCTAGTTTGGTGCTCTGGCAGGGACCAGTTCAATTCGGATAGACCAAGAATTCCCCTGAGAATGAAGGGAGCCTGTGGGTGAGCCATGCTAGGTGGCTGGTATCCTTGCTGAGGGGTGGGTGGCACACAGGGCTGGGTTAGGGATGCCTCATTGGAGGAGGTGGCAGGAAATTAAGTGCCTGGACTGTTGAGCCCAGCCACATAGGATGCTCTAAGAGGGTTGGGCGATTGCTCCCAGGCCTTCCCGTGAACTTTGCTCCCTGGACCTCTTTATGGAGCAAAGCTGCTTGTGTTCAGCTGCTGCAGCAAACTGGGGAGCAATGCAGCCAGGCTGTTACCCGCAGTCAGCAACCCGCTGGTATTCCTTAGTGCTACAGCCAGCAGCACCTATGAGATGCTCCTGCTGTGCCGAACTCACAAACTCCCTGCCATGGAGCTGAGCTCAGACTGAGGCACGCTGTACTTTCAAGACAGCAGCTATATCCTCATGATGATGCTGTCATGCACTGATGTGTGGGATCTTTTGTGGGCCCCAAAGGACACAGTGCTCTCATGCAATCTCCTGCGTGTGGTTATGTGGGAGAGGGGATTTTGGAAGGAGCACAGGGGCTCTAGATTGGGTGAGAGTATGGGAGCAGCCCTGATCTGGTCATCTTATTTTGGAGTGGGGGAAAGGTGGGACTTTCTGCTCCATCTGGAATTCAGACCAGGTGTTGGAGACCAGATTGGAATTTCTGATGTACCTCCAAGGCCAGTTGTCCTGCAACATCTGTGTAATAATACTCACTGGGGGCTCTGGGCCATGCTGAACACCATTGTCCCAGGCAGGCCCCAGAAACGTGGAGTGGGATCATTTCTGTCCTCAAGACTCTACTGTGGTGCAGGATGGGCATTAGGTGGCCTGGGCCATGCCCTGTGGTCCACTCATGCTGTGTAGCATTTATCAAGCATGCACAGTGGTGTGGGTCTGTGCAGACATCTCCTGCTGCTGTGCTTCACCTCTCTGCCGCATGTCGATTCCCCAGGCACTGCTCTGCAGACTGAAGCTTGCAGTGAGCTATGGTGGAGAACGGATGTGCAGCTGCATCAGGAAGGGAATGACCTTCAGGGCTGCTGTGCTGCCTGAAGGTCATGACTTGACTCTTACTGAAGGCTGGCTTCGTGCATGTAGTCTGGGCTTTGCAGGGTGCTGGGGGGAGCCAGGGTGCCCAGGAGCTCTGAGGCATCCCAGACAGGCATGGGGAGAAGGAAACGAGTGTCCAGTCCCAAGGTCTCTCCTGCCTCTCTTTCTGTAGTAGGAGATACTGCTGCAACCCAAGACAAACACAGCAAAGATGGGAGGAATCTGGGTCTCACCTGTGGCAGAGTAGGGAGGTCAGAGATGGGGCACGCATGGTTTAGCCTGTAAGTACAGCATCCCTTCCAAGCACCTTTGCTGTTCTGATCATACTGAGGATTGCCCTCATGCTTCTAGGGAGTCCTGGGAACCCCCCTGAGTAGGGTGCTGGGAATCTTTTGAGATGCCTCCTCTAGTCCTGAGAGTACGGGGTGCGTAGGGATCCTAAGTGCCCTGGCTGCTTGGGGTTATATCTCAGGGATGTACAGCTTCAGAGTTGTGCCTGGGGATGAGGGAGCCTGGCTTTTCCAGCTGGGAACAGGACTTGCCCTGCTCTGCTGTGGCTCCTATGGCCTAGTGGGCTGGGGGTAGCTCTGCCATGTCACGGTTGCAGGGCAGGCACCCACAGCCTCCATGTCCCATGGTGGGATGGCAGGAGTTTGTGGTTGAGCTAATGGAAAGTGCTTTTGCTGGGCTCTGCTCTGTTATCATGTGCCTCTTCTAATTCGGACTTCAGGGACTGGGGTGCCAAAGCGGAGGGGCATTGCTCTCCTCCCTCCCCAGGCCCTGGGGCATGGCTGAGTGCCCAGGATTGGCTCCCCCTGTCCAAAATGGGCTGCCTTCCCTTTTTTAGCTGTTTGTTGAGCTGTGAATTCCTCGTTCCTGGCAGCTTGACAAGCTGGGAACAAGGCTTAGCACGTGGGAGAGCTGGGCCCACCAGCCTGCGGTGGGAGGGGTGGGAGTGTGGCAACCTTAACTCTTCCCAGGCGTGCTGGCAGCTGTGGCAGGGCACGGGGACAGCAGGTCATGTGTGGCCTGTGGTGTCCTGTGGAGCAGTGTATTTGCAGTTGCTCTTGGCCAGCTGAGCAGGGCAGGAAAGGGGCCATGGGGACTCTGGGTATCCAAAAGGGTACTGGGGGGAAGGAAGCATGTTGGGTGAAATGTGACTGCCAGGGGTGGCAGCGATTGTGCTGGGCTTGGTTGGTTCCTGCAGATCCAGTCCACGTCCAGCCATGTGCTTTGTGGCTGCAGAAACTGGGATGTTACGTGCCCTGCAGCCTGGCATACACGTTTCTCCCTTGTTCCTAGACCCAGGAGGCCATCCTCTCAGGCTAGCGTTGGCCCAGCGCAGGACCCTTTTCCTCCTGGTGCTCAGCTTCCCTGGCGATGCTGTCCTCAGCCATAGAGCTCCAATGCTTCTTGCTGGATCATGGTGCGTGCTGGCTGTAGCTAACATGTGGGGTCTCTTGGAAGCATTTGCCTCATGCCCATCTCTTGCTGGTAGACTGTCAAATAGCTGCTTCCCCTGGCAAGGTTCTCCTCATTGCTCCAGGAGATTTGTGGAGGCATTCCCCAGGACCTGCCAAAGCTGGGTTTGGGCCTCCCCGGTGTCCCTTGGCCTTACTCACCTCTCCGTCGCTGCTTTCTGCATACAGCTGCCTTTAAGAGCCGGTTCTCGACTTGTTCCTGGCCATGTGTTTCCTGCCATAAGGGAAGTGGTGTGTGTTCCTGACAGGAGACAGTGTGTTTGCCTTTATGTCTGTCCCTGCAAGGACTGCTTTTGCCTGTTGTGTGCCAAAAAGAGGCTGTTCTCTTCTTGGAGGCTATGGGGACTCCTGGGGAGGAGAAGGTTTACTCTGTCCCCTGGTGTCTTGCAGGGAAGTCTCTCAGGGAACCTGAGTGGCCCTGGGCTTGTATCCAGGGTTTACGCTGAGCGCTCTCCAGGTCTCCTTATGCTGTGTTATTGGGCACAGACTCCTCGTGTTTGTAGAGGCAACTCCCCTCTGCTACCCTTGCTGCAGTCCATGTGCTGGCAGGAGGCTCTGGGGGTATGGTTTAGCATAGTGACATAACCCATGGAGCCTGATGTGGTCTCATGGGCAGATGTTGACCAGATCCAGGGGCTGGTCTGAGTTGTCACAATCTCTCCTTCCCCAGGATGCACTGAAACCAGCGTTCACTGTCACCAATCTGCCGGGGACAACGTCCACCATCCAGACAGCCCCCACCACCTCGACCTCCATGCAAGTCAGCAGTGGCCCATCATTCCCCATCACTAATTACCTGGCGCCAGTGTCTGCCAGCATCAGCCCCAATGCCGTCACCAGTGCCAACGGGACAGTGCTGAAGACTACTGGAGCCAGTGCAGTGACATCTGGGGGCCTCATGCCCATACCCACCGGCTTCACCCTCATGTCAGGTCAGTGCCTTTAGGGGCTGAGGACCACATCTGTCTGTCTCTGCACCCAGAGTGTGTTGCTGCCCTCTCCAGAGGAGAGGAGACCTAGTGGCAGGAGGAAGCAGAGCGGTTGCTGCTGTAGGGTGAACCTGGCTGGGATTCCTTGCTTGAGCCCAGCCAGGCCAGTGGCTGGGGAACTATTTCCTTAGAGTGCTGCTAGCTGGCCCTGCTGCTGGGAAGAGCACGGTGGCAGGGAGCTGAGCTGGGACCCCAGAGCAGCACCAAGAAGCCTGGAGGGAGTGAAAAGAGCTGATGATGACAAAGCCTTTCTTTCTCCCTCCTTTTGGCAGGTGCTTCCCTTTCTCCGGGGACCCCTACCATTCCTCTCACTCAGTTACAGCCGCACACCCTGGCTCTTTCCAGCCAGCAGGGCCAGGTGGTCACGGGTACAGCTGGACAGCTGCAGCAGGCACAACAGACAGTCTTCCGCTTCCCTGCCAGAGCTGGAGGGCAGATCATGTCGCTGACAGGTCAGCACTTGCTTCTCCTCCACTTGCTTGAGGTGGGGGGATGGAGGCATCTGTGGGGGTCCTGGTCCTGGCCAGAGAGCTGACCCTCCCCCAGCTGAAGTGGGAACACAGAGGAGGCAGAGCACAGGGCATCCTGGCTGTGGCTGCAGGGGAGAGGTGGGAAGACAGGGCAGAGAGTGCTTGGCGTAGGCAGGAGCAGCATCCTGGGGGATCCAGACCAAGGGAAGCAGCAGGTTGTCAGTCTTCTGCCGCAGGGTTTACCCTGTGGCTAAA